GGAGGGAGAGATGGATTAGCCATAGCAACTCAAAGCTCCTGGCTCTCCAAACCATCCTCAAAGGCGATGGGTCCTACCGTTTGGCATTGCCTCACGAGACACAAGAGAACATCACACACCAAGGGAATAAGTCCAGAGCACTTATGGGAAATGTACACTGCCAGCACTTCTCCGCGTAGCACTGGACGTGAGAGAAGAGAGGAGCGCAGTGCTACTAGGGACAGCGAGTCCATTTGCACGCCACATGGCCGCTCCGGACACTGAGTGTTGATGTTAATTATATGGTAGGGCTTTCAGGTAGCTGGGGCATCAGGGCCAGGACAGTTTCTTTCAGTGTTTTGGGCCAATACAACCTAAATACCCTTATCCATGTCTGGGAAATATTCAGGTCCCCAAGCTTGGGTTCAAGCTGCTGGGAGAGCATGCAGTGCTTAGTCACAGAGCCAGTGGAAAGTACCTACTGTGTTTCTTGGTCAAAAAGAGAAAATGTTGTGGGACGCTGGAGGACCTTACACAGTTGGACTGTTATGTGGTAGAGGGACATGGATTCAACTATAGTATTATTTGGTAACTTGTATTCTTATTTATAATTTTAAATAGAGGGACTTCCTGATGGTAGATCCCTAATTCCAAGTAGTCGATTGCTTAGGCGAGCGTGTCTTTCCGCCTCTGAGAGAGGGCGGGCTGGAGTTCTTGCACTGTACTGCGTGTGTATATTTATGAACTCCTGAGAACCCACATGTCCACCTTCTTGAGCAAGCTCCCTACCGCCTGTAACCTGAACCAGCCTACGCCCATGGGCTGCGGAGGTGTGTCGGACACATAAACCTCATCCAACATCATGTAAAGGGGAAACGGGGATTGAAAACTAAGTACCATGCTTCCTGGGCCAACTTTACCCCCTACACGCTGTGTGTCTGTATCGATTGATTACACCTTATTCGCCCGTTGAGATGGTTGAAGGAGTCAGTCCAGAGTTGTTCCTGTCACTCTCGATCTCTCGCCCCAACACACAATCAAGAACCAGCGAGTGGAAACCGATCTTGCCCCTAGAAAAGAGCAATAAAGACATAATACTGTAATCCATTGCAAAGCTGGTGGAGAAGGCCAAAGGCAAGAGGGTAGGCTTCGTGCAGTGAGACCAACAAGGCTGGGCAACATAGGGAGACTTGTGTACTTGGTACGCCTTGACATCTAGACTCATCGTAAGGAGAAAAAGTGTCATTTTTAAATATCGACAACAGCATCCATGCAAGACAGGACACCGAGACATTCCAGAGCTATCACCATCAGCATAATCAATTCTTGCCATCAGTTTTCTCACCGGCAGATGACTCGATGGCCAGAAAAGAACAGGGATTGCTCTGGGCACGGCGAGGTTGTTTCCATGGGTGAGTCCTTGCTGGCCCTGGTGATAAGCCAAGGGGCATCTGCCGCGAAGCCTCTGCCAATCAAAGACTCTCTCCTTGCAAGCGCTGGCACTTCATCTGCCGAGCCGGGACCTTCTTGTCCACGCACTATTCTCTTGGACTGGTTTGTCAACCCCTTCTTATTCCTTTCTCTCTTTTGATTTAAATTCTACTTTGTTTTAATGTGGAATTGTTTTTAATCCAAATACACTTCATAATATTGATGAAGTATACTACTATGTGTGGGCATTGCAATATTGACTGACTATGTAGATGGCTTGAGCCTGGGTGTTGGTGGCTCTGAGACTCCTGAGTGAGCAAGGTAGTACTAAGGAGAATTGCCTTCTGGGCAATCCACACATAGCTCATGGCTTTTGCGATTTGAAATAGCATCAAGTAAAAGTCTGACATTGTGTTAGAGACACAAATATGCGTGACCTGGTTATCTTCTGACCTTGCACGAACTCATGACAATTTGTCTCTAAAAATTAAAAAAAAAATTAAAAAATAAAATGTAAAATAAAAAAAATTACTTGGGCATGGTGGCATGTGCCCACAATCCCAGCTACTTCAGGAGGCTGAGGCCAGGAGAAATGCTGGAGGCCAGGAGTTCGAGACTGGCCCGGCAACATAGTGGGACTTGGTCTCCTAAAAGATAAAATGAAAAAAATTTTAGCTGGGCATGGATGGCATGTGCGTGGAGTCCCAGCTGCTCAGGAGGCTGAGGCAGGAGGATCGCTTGGCCAGGAGTTCAAGATCAACCTGGGCAAACATAGCAAGCCCTATCTCTAAAAAATAATATAAAAATATTGTACGGATTGAGGTCTTACTACGTTGCTCAGGCTGGTCTCTAACTCCTGGCCTCAAATGATCCTCCTGCCTTGCTTCCCAAGGGCTGAGAATATAGTGTGTGAGCAATCATGCCAGCGTTAGGTGGAATTTGAGATGTTGGATATATATGTAGCCTCTTTTTTTTTTTTTTAGTATTTTATTTATTTATTTAATTTCAGCATATTACAGGGTGTAGCCTCTTAATGTAGAATATTTCTCACCCTCCTATTTCGCCACCTGTACAGGGCACGGAGAACTCCTGGGAATCGGAGATGCTGATTTTCCTCTTGCTGTTGGTCTTTTTCCTGTTTGAAAAGGTGTTTCTTCCTCACTGGTGCTTTGATGCCCAACATGCTTATCCTGGACATTCTAGTGAATTGGTAGGCAGCACTGGTGTCAGCTTCATTGAGGATGGCCTGGGCCAAAGACTTCACAGTTTTCTCTGGGTCATCGTTCATCTTTTCCAGAGCTGAAACCAGGGGGAGGTCAACTGAGACTCTGATCTCTAAGAACTGTCAACCCACTCCCATTCTCTTTTCACCCCAAAGGCCAGGGCATCCCCACATGAGTCCATTTAGAATAATTTTGTATCCCTATCAAAAATATGTTTCATCATAGAAAATATTTAAAATAAAAATTATTTTTTTAAAAGGAAAGGAAGAAAAATTCACTCACCCCCAGAGATAGATAACACTGCTAATAGTTTGGTATCGATCCTGGCAATATGTTTTTTAAACACCCACTATAAACAGAATTTTATTTACAAAAATAGCATTAATATTTTTTCTTCCCACAAAATATTCCTCTATATGGCAAAATATCCAACCACATGATTTTATCATATTTTTTGATGAACTAGCTATTAGTGGATAATTAGATTATTTGCAATTTTTCCTTGTTATAAAGAATCATGAATTCAATCAGCAACTATTTATTGAGTACTTCCTATCACTGGGCACTGTGCTAGGTGCTGGGGATACAGTGGTGATGAAGAGGCACAGAGTCCCCACCCTCAGGAGGTTAACATTCTGTTGGGGGAAAGAAAAATAAACAAAA